AGAATATCTTATATCCTTCTTCTTGTGATAATTAAATTTGGGCTGACCAATCAGCGTTTTAAACCAACACCACGTGTCTATAACGGACCAATTGAAACACAGTTAAAGGCTTTCAGAACTTTCTAAAATGACTTAGAAATGAACTGTTATCCAAGCAAGACTCAGGAACAGGAAGACGATAGTTGGTCATGATTCAATCAATAACGTTTAAAGTCAGTATATTCGGACCGAATATCCTGAAAGTTATAACCTTTTGATTGAATGATTGAATCACGAAAAGCGTTTTTCAACCTTATCATTTATAATTAGTTGAGCAGAAAATGAAATCTCCAGAACAGACTCCTTTCTGGGAGACTTTCAGGCCCTTCACACTTTGTTTCTGCCTGGTTCTAATATACCGTTACAATAATGACTTTAATATAAACTAACATTCTCGGAACAGAACTGAGAATATCCTATATCCTCCTTCTTGTGATTACTAAATTTGTGCTGACCAATCAGCGTTTTAAACCAACACCACGTGTCTATAATGGACCAATGGAAATATAGTTAGAGGCTTCCAAAACGTTCTAGAATAACTTAGCAATGTGTCTCAAAACAAGACACCAGAGCCGCAGGAAGATGATAGTTGACCATGATTCAATCAATAACGCTTTAAGTCAAGATACCCGTCTAACTACCGCCTAACTTGCAGAACACAATAAAACAAGACTAATAAAATAAGATAATGTAACTTTGCTGTCTACAAAAATACATTTTATACGCGATTCTTTTCCAGGTAACAAAAGATTGATCATTGTCGCTTTGGAATTATTAAATACCCATAATTTTAGCATTTACCAGATCCGTGGATCCGTGCTGTTTTGTGATTAACTGACAAAAAAACAATATTTTTCATCAATTTAATTCTAAAATTCAAGGAATATCATCCGCCACCCCAAATTCCCTTTCCTTGGATAATTGAGATAAATAAAATATTTAACACAGCAAGAAAAGGTCGAGCAACACAAAATGAATAAGATTGATTATGATCCTCCGACATTATTTATTCGGGAATGAAGTGAATTACGCGTCTGCAATATGTTATAAAACCCGCTAACTTACCTGAGTAAGTTAAATTAGTGTGAGAAATATAATATAAAGTAATAAGCACCGAATATGTTAATGTTATCTAAAGAGCCCGAACATTTCGTGAAAAGTCTCGATCTTAATATCACGCCGAGATCTTCCAGGAGGGAACTGACAGTTGCATTTACCTTACGGCCTCTATGTTATTATGACGATACATACTTACATTATAGAGGCCGCGGAATTATGAGGACTACCAGATCTTGGTGGAACCTAAGCGATCCATGATATCACAACAGGCCCTAGAATACCGCGCCGGTTTGGAATAAATTATGAATGTTTAATAAATTGTGTTTAATAGATTGAGTTTAATTTTGCGAATAATAAAACGCGTGAATTTCAATCGATGTATTATTAGGCGCTGATTCCGAATCACCCCGTGACGCAAGGCAAAATGCTTCCCTGAGGAGTAATGAGCAAAAAATAGTTTTGGTCACGCAAAATGATATTAGCCCAATTGAGTGGTACCGGAGGTTCTCGCAATGAGAATAAGCCTCACGTATTGTAACTTCTATTATATTATCGGCACTTGTAATTATGGTTTTAAATAACACTGTGTTTTGGTTCAACCGAAATAAATTTCACTGTTTTACATAATATTTCTCACTCCAGCTGCAGTCTGGTAGTGCTGAGTCTCACGAATATTTTTCTAACTTTCATATTCCATGTTTTTTACCTCCTATTAGATATTTTGGTCTCCTGTAAATGTAACTGTGTAATATACAGTAATACTCCGATTTACCGCTATTATATACTAATAAAAGATATTAGTTAATGTACGGGTAATTATATTTTGTGCCATCTCATAATTTTCATTAAGTCTGTTTTTCGGTGCTGGGTTTTATTGGTTGCTATTAGTTTGACTGTGAGAATAATTAGATTGTTCTAAATTATGTGCAAGACAGTTATTTTTTGTTCGCTATATAAGACTGAACGAATAATCCTTCACTCCCCCGTTTTCAGTAGTATCATGATAACATCAAGAAACGTATACGACGTACTGGAATATTTTTTCTTGTACCCCCTAGGACTTGTGGTTCAAGCTATCTTGCAAAGACTCTTCACATTCCTGTTCGGACCAAAAGATGAAGACATAAAAGATAAGGATGTAGCTGTGTGCTACCATGTAGTTTGGAATTTCAAGCAACAGTTTCGCAGACCAAACGGGCTCCACTTCTACCTCCTAAAGTTTAAAGAGCTGGCAAGTATCCAAGTTATTGAGGAGAATGATGTCCTGCTGTACTCGCTTACATTCCACGAATTCCATTTTGTGCGGATCAGGCCAGGAGTTGATTACACGGACATAGATCTGTACCCGTTCAACAGTTTTACCATCCACGACCATGCTACTGAAGTTATCACTATTCCACGTGACACAGTTGTCAAATACCTGAAAAGCAAATCACACAGCTCAGGTGGCAATTTAACCATACTACACAATATAGGAAGATGTGGTTCAACGCTCATTGCTTCAATGGTTCACAAAACTAAACAGTTTCACATTCTTTCTGAACCCTTTCCCCTGACGGTACTTGCTATAATGATGAGCAAGCGGAATGATACTCATCCACTGCACTGTGAAGAAAACCTGGAATTAATAAAGACGACATTGCTTCTACTTTGTAATAAACCAGATCAGCGTTACTTTGTAAAGATTTCCGGCATCTTCACTGGAAGTTTGATACATCTTGTTCACAGAGCCCTTCCTGGTGCTACAGAAATACACATGTACAGATCACTGATGCCCTGCTTATTCTCCTGGGCACGTGTAATGGGTGCGCGGCGCTTCAAGGATACTGCGAATTTCGGAGTAAACCTGCTACCAACCAAGTACAGGAGAATATGGGAGAAGATCAAAGTTACACGATCTTACGAAAAGTTCCTATTTGCAATGCTATGTCAAATTCATCCTTACTATCTGGAATCCCAAAGTGGGAGAAAGTTGAGAGCCTACTCCTACGAATCGCTTTTAGAAAACCGAGAGGAATTCTGCAAAAACCTCTTGTTTGAACTGGGCATTAAGGAAGAGTTGACTTCTCTTGCGCTGACTGCTCTTGAGAAGGACTCCCAACGTAATTCTCCTCTCAGTAGGAAGATTGTGAGTAAGACGCCCCAAGTTGACATACCAAGCGAGGCACGTGATTGGATTGCCAGGATCGGACGAGAGGAATTTGGGATTGAGATGGAGGGACCATATTGTCGGCTTACTAATGTGCCCAATACTTGGAATAGCGGCAGTTAATACTGTTTAAGAGGAACATAAGAGACTTTATGAGAAGATATGTTGCTACCGATCAAAAGTACTTGAGGTGGACGAACGTGTTGCCATGGATACCATCTGTGGTGTGCTCCTCATTTGTTGGTGTTATTATCTCACTCTAAAGTTATATCTAATCTTGAAGTTTACTGTTACCTTACAAGATATATTTATGGCGGCCTAATTTGCGACGACCGAAATTTTGGCGGTCCGAAAATATGGCGAAATTAAACAAAAACCGTCAAATTTCGGACGTCACAGAAAATAAGGGTATTTTTCATCATTTTTTGTGACAGTAAGGACTTAAGGAGTAAGGAAATTTCTGAAATTCGGTAAAATCGTGTTCAAACTTAGTCTGTATTAAGACTGTAAGACTTTCATGTTAGCACATACATGTATTTTAATGCAAATTTAAACTGTATTGCTTGACATTCAATTCGTCATTGGTGTGTTGATAATTTGTCCCAAGATGCCAGAATTTATTTATTTATTTTACTTGATATTACTTTTTAGAAACAAAATAAAGCAGTGAAGGCACAGTCATTGAAATAAGCTAAAAGATAATGCGACGGATTCTATTACGACGACCGAAATTTTGGCGGTCCGAAAATGTGGCGAAATTTTCGGAAAACCGCCACATTTCGTACGTTATAAATATGTCTTGTAAGGTATACCATATCTGGATAACGATATTATGTTGACTCTATGAGTTGTGACACCCTTAATTAAGTACCAACTACCAAATCGCTTTAGACTGCTGATTTAGTAAAACTTAAGTAAATACATCTTTAGTATAGCATAATTTTGGGAACGTTATTACTTTGTTTATGTTAATCTTGATACTGGAATGAAGTGTTTACCTTCTAGTTCTACGTCGCATTTGCCACGCCGTCACAGATAAGTCGACGAAAATTTTAAATACGGCGCGAGATCAATTCAAAATTACGAGAGACAGAAATTAACGGCATTCAACTACGTCTATACTCAATAGTCAAACAATGCATAGAAATTAGAATGTATGCACAGTAGTGAAGTCAATCCCGATCAAAAAAATCAATCCCGGGATTCGGGAATCTCGAACAAAAAATCCCGGGAGTCCCGAAAACCGGGAATTTCCCGAAAATCGGGATTCCCAAAGGCAAATGGCGCTCAACTTCAAGTCCCATTTTGTGTAATAAAGTCATGTCCAATGTCCATGCCATGACCCAAATGTTATGGTTGTACTTGCAGACTGTTTTTAAAGTCCAATAGTACAATTAAAGCTGCCTCATCATGTCACAAGGTCAAGAAGATACCACGAGTGTGAAGTTTCATCATTAACCTTCTTTTCTCAAAGTCTCAAGAAGTACCTTAAGACTACTATTGCGCAAACAACTTGGGCCTATTCTATTACGGACTTTTGTCTGCGTCCTGCCAGCTGTTGAGAGAAACAACTTATCTACGTGTTGGTACTTTTTTGGCTGGCTTCAGCTTTCAGGACTGCTGGATGAACCTTTTGCACAGCGACTCTATCCTTATCTTGTATCATGCCACCGTTATTAAATTCTAACTGAGGTTTTTTTCCGGTTAGATCACAACTTAGCATCATATTTATTTAAAGTGATTTTACCTCCAGGTTTGTGTTGGAGACACAGGATACTATTTTGGAGCAGCTCAAAGACCGCGCTGCTATGAGCAGGGAATCTATCCAGAAACTTGAGGTTGGTATTTATTATTTAATCAGCAGTTACACTCTCATATTATGTAAGGGGTCGTTCACATATTACGTAATATGTGAAATTATTTTTCGGAACAAAATATTTGGAGAGGCTATAACTCAATCAAATAAATTTCTTTTCCGAAAGATGATTTTAAATCAAGAAATGCTCGATTACAGATATTAGTGTTCTCAAACTTCCTGTGAAGTCATTTAGGCTGGACAGATTTAGTGTATGGGCCCTTAATTCCAAAGACATCTTAATTTTAATTGATAAATTCTGATATCAGATATTATTATCTTAAACAACTAATCGATGATTAGAAATAATAGATGATTAGAAATAATAGATGATTAGAAATAATAGTGCCAACTACAATTATAGCGTCATACTGTACTATGCATCTAAAGCACTCAATTCTTCTTTTTTTTAAAACATGATTGTATAACAATCATACAAAACGAACAGGAACACACACACTAGGTTTTAATTCGGTAAAATTCCATTCGAAAACGAAATAATGCAGAGGAGTATAACTTAAATATTAATATTATGAGTTAATAATAGTAACGACAATAAACTGAGAGGTGGTGTCCCCCCCCCCCCCCCCCCCCCCCCCCCCCCCCCCCCCCCCCCCCCCCCCCGATATTGTTATAATCACCTCATGGAACGCCTCTGGAATAAATTAATAACAATGCCAGTAAACACACATGATCAGTAATATGGTACAGGTGCTAACTTTGAGGTTTATAATATTTTAAGAAAATGTTACATCCTTCGGAGGGAATAGAGGATGATATTTTCATGTTAAAGTACAAGTAACTGTCTTGATATTTCGTTATTTGGTTGGCCCTCATCTAAATGTTAACATAACATTACGAGAGGTGGTGCCTGGTGGTATCGAGCCTGACATAGGTCCGTGTAGGCCTTACACTGTGCTTTCGGCAATACTCATAAGTATTTCCGTGGCTGTGGTTGCAATGCGCCTAGTCTACTGGAATGATTCTTCGGAATTTCGCTGGATTGTACAACTTTCGTCTTGGTAGATTCCAAACACAAGGAAATTTTCCTTCTGGTTGGTAATATACTCAATGATGGAAGTATAGTGTATTGGCTATGCCCCGCTTACTAGTTTAGCTCTTTCTAGTCCCCTGCTACACGGCATGTAAACAGGGATTGGCTAGTTAGAGGCGGTCCGTGTAGGCCTTACACTGTGCTTTCAGCAATTATACTCAAAGTATGAAGGGATTTTAATCTTTCATCGAAATAATTTTATATAATATGACTAGAAAACCCGTGGTCACAGAGAGGAAGCTATAGTAATATTATTTGTGAGAAAGCTTTAATCGCATTAAAAAATGTTCGTCCCAACCGAAAATACATCCGATTTAATGTAAAACACAACGTAATTACCACAAAACCGATCAAAATGCCGTTCCAAAAATCTTTGCACAAAAAAAATTTACAATAGGAAATCTATTGATGAAGATTAATGAACAAATTTTTGATATTTTATTGTTCTAAAACAGAAATATTGCCGATTTTTTGTTTTAAAACAGAAATACTGCCGATTTTTGTTTTTAAAACAGAAATACTGACGATTATTCACACTCTCTTCATTACAGAATCAGAAGGTATACCTGAGCAAGAACTTAAAGGAAAGCGAGAACGCACTACGTGAACTGGTAGAGAGCAAGAAAACGACGATTGCAAAATAATCACGAACATTTTCATCTTTTGCGCCTCTGTAGTGGTTTTCTCTTTGTGTTTATATTTGCTGTTATATTTGTAGAGTTAATTGGACGGTTTTCTGTTCTCTGGACTATATCTTTTGTAAAATAACATTATTTGTCAATCGCTGTGTTTTCTCTTCGGTTTTGTCATCTTAAAGCATCTCGGTGAATCAAAACAAATATTTGGTGATTGAAAATGAAATACCGTTGTAATGAAATAACGTTGTTAATTTAATGGTAATGTTTAGTGAGCTTATCTTGAGTTTGGTCAAAGTCCACCCCATCAAACCATGATAATATATTAAATGTCAAAAATCAAGAATTTCTCACTCGCCAGCTAGCTTGAAGCGCTGCCGTTAGATGGCCTGTAAAACTGTGTTTCCACATTGATACCAGTTTTGGTCCTCCAGCTCTGATGAGATTAATTTAACCAAACTGTGCTGACAAAAATCGATCATCTAGCTCTCGTTATAACTTTATAAGACTCCTACAAAATTGGATTTGAGGTAGGTCAACCTACGTAACATATGGTGTTAATTACATAAGTAATTCTTAGATTAAATCTCTAGATCTCAGAATTGTAACTTGAAGACTAGGAGAGACTTGACCCCGAATGTATGTTTGGTGTTTTGCCGTTGTGAGCTGATCGTACCCAACAATGATAACCATCCTCCTCTCTTTGCTTACCTTCCACTCCTCTGTTAGCGGGGACTTTCCTTATACATGGAGATGTAACACCACCGCATCTGCTTGCACTCGGCAACTGAAAGGTCAGTGCAACAGGATAGTAATATAACTTACTAATATAACTTACTACATTATACATTATTAAAAACGAAGTATAATTTTACAATATCAATGTAAAGGCAGTTCAAACCTACTGTGTTTGTAGTTGTACAATGTACATTTGATTTTGAGCATCTTATCTTTCACTTCACTGAACGGAGTTTTGATATTGATCACGGAAGCTTGCTACTTGGTATATGTTACGAGATCAGATACAGAGATTGTATTTGCAATTTGTAGTTATAGTACTACTACTACCTTATCGGACCTTATTTGGACGGACATTACTTGAACGCTGGAGGCCCTAGCGTTCATCTTAATGTCCGTTCAAATAAAGTCCGTTCAATAAATGTCCGTCCAAGTTAAAGTCCGTTGAAATTTTTTCAAACATTTTTCCATTTCAAACTTTTTGTCCAGATTATGACAACTTTGAGAACTTTATTAAGTCGTAAGTTAACGACGGAAAGGTTCTCCTTGGTCTGCCGGAGGCACAGAAAACTCTACTAGTATATGATGTTTTCAAGGGTCACTTGGCGGAAAAAAGTCAACGAAATTATGGCACTCAACAACATTTACATAGTTCATGAAATAGTCCCCGCCAACATGACAAACTTGTTCCAGCCTCTAGATGTTACGGTAAATCGTGTTGCCAAGGACATTGTCCGACGTTGTTATAGCTCATATTACTCAGGGGCGGTAATGAAACAGTGCTAGGAAAGCTCCACGTGATGTTAGGTGTTAAGGTTAACCTTAAATTGTCTTAGAAGATAAAACTACTTCACGGCTCACGCCGAATGGCTTGTAAAAGTTAACACTGAAATGCAGGAGTACCGGGGTAGTTTGATAAAAAAGGTTTCCATAAACGGTAAACCGAAAACCCATTTGATGAAGATGATATCTGATATTAGAAACTGATCATCTACACATATTTTAACATTTTTACTGCTTAATGACTGCTTTTCTTACTTACTGTATAAAAAATGGATTTAACAATCATTTGCTGAAATTTAAAAAACGTCAAAAAAAATTTAAAAAATTCGGATTTTTGATGGTTTTGAATGCCTTCGAGCGTTCATATTAATGTCCGTTCATAATTATGTCCGTTCATGTAATGTCCGTCCAAATAAGGTCCGATAAGGTAGTAACACTAACAACCTTTGGGCTTTCGAAATTCCCGGAGTTTTAGTTTTGTTCATTATTGTAAATGTAAAAATCAAGATATTCAAATTCATGGCATCGAACTTATAGTTATATAATACTTTAGCAATAATATTAGCAGTAGTGCAAAGCTGCATCATCTATACCATATCCAAGTGTTCATTTTGTATATGTAGTAGCGGAAAAGGCATCGTACACGATGTCAGATGTACAGAAAATGTACAAACAATGTATTCAAATCTACATTCTACAAGTACATAGCTGCAGAGATAAAAGAGGTAATTCAACGCGCGCCCAAAACTACTGTCACTGATAAAAGTGGAGGTTATACCTGCATGGCATTGACCCGGACCGGACCGGACGAACATATAAGATTTAAACGAGAAATGCAATGAGAATAATATTTAATCCGCAGTTGATGACGAGAGTTTCACGCCTCCGTCCAAGTGTAAGCTGGAATGTGTCTCAACAGCCAAAGAAGACAAAGGTGCTCCTTCAGCTACCCGGGTGTTGTGGCCGCGTCCTAAAGAGGTGTCCGGGAACTCCGGACAAGCTTCAGCTGTTAACATGAGGGATCTCTCGTGAGTAACACAGGAGTTTCTGGATTTGTTTAGGCAACTTTGCCAGTTGGGTCACACTTGGGTGCAACTAGTATTGATAATAAAATGTTATATGGGGGGGGGGGGGGGGTGTCACGTCCGTCTATGTCCGCTTGTCTCATAGAATCCTAAAAGGACAGGACATAGGCGGACATAGGCGGACATAGACAGACATATAATACGGACTTTAGCGGACATTAATGGACACCTAAATTGCTAAATAAAATATTCAATTTTTGCTGTTATATCATGTTTTTTGTCCGTTCGGTACCCTATATTTTCAAAACGGACAAAAAATAGAGCGGACAAAAATGGACAAAAACGGACTAAAATGGAAATAACATTTAAATGCTTCCTCCTCCTACTCTTTCTCCTCCTCCTCCTAGGTCTTCCTGATCTTCCTCAGTCCTCTTCCTCCTCCCCTCCTCAGTCCTCCTCCTACTCCTACTCCTCCTAGCTCCTCGTCCTCAGTCCTCCTCATCAGTCCTCAACAGTCCTCCTCCTCCCCAGTCCTCCTCCTCCTCCTCCTTGGCTTTATCTTGGTTTCACTCATATCTTACCGATAGAGAGCAATACGTGAGCGTCAACAACTGCAAGTCCTCTCACCTCAAACTTAACTACGGAGTACCACAGGGCTCCATTCTCGGACCAATTCTGTTCATAATTTACATCAACGACCTTCCTCAGATTAGTAATTTAGCTAAACATATTTATTTCGCTGACGACGCAAACCTAATAATAAGTACAGATACATTTGAACAACTTAATGCAATGGTGAATGAGATTCTGACTTTGATAATTGATTGGGCTACTAATAACGGGCTTAAATTAAATGCTAGCAAAACTAAATATATGATCTTTACAAATAAGAAAACTGAGGATATAGAAATTTACATGGGAGGTGAACGATTAAAGCAAAGTGATCACGAAAGGTTTCTTGGCGTGATCATTGATACCAAGCTAAATTGGGCCCACCACATTAGACATTTAGCCACTAAATTATCTAGAAATGCGGGCATACTCTACAAACTCAAAGGCTCTGTACCTAACAAAGCACTCAAGTTGATATACAACAGCTTTGTTCAGTCTCACTTGTACTACTGCTGCACAGTTTGGGGAACAAGATCGCTAAACTCCGTTAAAAGAGTCTTCTCTGCCCAGAAAAAGGGCATTCGCGCTGCAGATAACCAATACCACCGCTATTTTTATGACAAAGATCTGAACAGTACACCTTCACACACAAAGGAAATTTTCAATAAACTAGAAGTATTAGCTTTACCGAACGTGATAGCTAAATGTATATTATGCTTAATGCACAAAGTTTATTCTAACACTGCACCACCAAATATTATAAGAATGTTCACTGTTTCAAACTTAAACGCACCTAGAAGAGAACCTGAGTTCTTTGCAGTACCATTTAACCGTTTATGTAATTCAGACAAGAGCATTTCTTACATTGGGCCTAAGTTATATAACAAAACAGTCAACATTATTAACAAGGACATAAAATATGTCACGACTTGCCTACAAGACAAATTCCTAAATTCATTCAAGTCTACAGTCAGCAAGCATGTGCTTACTGCACAAGCACTTAACCCGGATGACAAGGACTGGAAAAACTCAAATTTCGTACTTTTAGAAATTTAAATAATTTGATACAACGTACGTTGATAATAACGAGCAACAAAACTTTAACCTCATAACGAAATATGACTATCTTCGAGCATTTTCTACAATGCTATCGCTACCGCGCAATTTCACTGTCATTTACAAGACAAAAATATCACCGCGCATTCTTCAGACCCTGTGTCGCTGTTCTAAATTTATGTCAAGAGATAAGAGTTATTTACAAATTCTTAATAGTAGTACTATTCAAATTTGCTAATAGCGTAATCATATTTTATACATTATTCATATTTTATACATTGTGTGCATATATTTATATTTGATTGTAATTAAAGATTTTAAGGCGTTAGTGCCGAGTAATGCCTCTGGGTAGTGCTCCTCAATCAATCCTCCTGAGTCCTCCTCCTGGGTCCTCCTCCTGGGTCCTCCTCCTCCTCTTCATCCTCCTCCTCTTCCTCCTCAGTCCTCAGTCCTCCTCAGTCCTCCTCAGTCCTCCCCCAGTCCCCCTCCTCCTCCTCCTCCTATTCAGTTCTCCTCCTCCTTCTCCTCCTCAGTCCTCCTCCTTCTCAGTCCCCCTCAGTCCTCCTCAGTCCTCCTCAGTCCTCCTCAGTCCTCCTCCTCCTCCTCCAGAGTTCTTCTCCTCCTCCTCCTCTTCCCTCTCAGTCATCCTCCTCAGCCATCCTCCTCAGTCCTCCTCAGTCCTCCTCCTCAGTCCTCCTCCTCAGTCCTCCTCCTCCTGGGTGCTCCTCCTCCTCTTTATCCTCCTCCTCATCATCCTTCTCATCAGTCCTCCTCCTCCTCAGTCCTCTCCCAGTCCCCCTCCTTCTCCTCCTCCTATTCAGTCCTCCTCCTCCTCCTCCTCATCAGTTCTCCTCAGTCCTCCTTCTCATTTCTCCTAAGTCCTCCTCCTGAGTCCTCCTCCTCTTCCTCCTGAGTCCTCCTCCTGAGTCCTC